TACTGTTAACAGCAATGCTAGCCCTAAATCAAAATCTAGCATTGTACCCCTGCTATAACATCAATCATAACCATAAACCTAACCTTGCTGTTAACGGCATTGCGAACCGTAAGTCAAAATCTAGTGCTATACCCGTTATACCCCAACCCTAACCTTATTTTTAACTGCAACACTAACCGTAAATCAAAATCTAGCATTATACCCCTGCTATACTCTGAATCCTAACCCTACTTTAACTGCAATGTTAATCTAAATAAAAATCTAGCTCTCTACCCCGATATACACTTAACCCTAAACATATCCCTGACCTCAGCCTCAACCCTAAAAATTAACCCTAAATTTAATGTAAATACTCACCCTACTGCTAAAGCTAAAACTATACACTAACCCTTACTCCGAACCTTTAGCCTTAATCTTATCTCTAGCCCTTAAACTTAACCCTCACGCTAACCACTAATCTTCACTTTCGACAGTGAATCTAACCCTTAAACTCAACCCTACTGCTGAATTCTCACCCTAACCATGAACAAGTGTTAGGGTAATCCTAACACTTACCCTAACCTTACCCCCTACCAATAACCCTCTTTCTTAAACTTCAGGTTAACAGGTTTCAGAGGGGTAGCTGTGTTAGTCTGTATCAGCAAAAACAACGAGGAGTCCTTGTGGCACCTTAGAGACTAACAAATTTATTTGGGCATAAGCTTTTGTGGGCTAAAACCCACTTCATCAGATGCATGGAGTGAAAAATACAGTAGAGAGGTATAAATACACAGCATATGAAAAGATGGGAGTTGCCTTACCAAGTGGGGGCTCAGTGCTAACGAGCCAATTCAATTAAGGTGGAAGTGGGCTATTTTCAACAGTTGACAAGAAGGGAGGAAAAAATCACTTGTGTAGTGCTAATGAGTTCAATGTAATCAAGGTGGCCCATTTCAAACAGTTGACAAGAAGTCATAGGTGCCACAAGGACTCCTCGTTGTTTTTTCAGGTTAACAGTTATGCTCACCCTACACCTAAAGATAACATTATGCCCTAACCCTAACCCCAGTCCTAACCTTTATGATCCCTGATCATATTTAGGCTTGGCAGAATTTGATTTTTTTAAAATAATTTAGATGGATGATATCAATGTTTATTTTTAAGCATTTCCCCCCATTTTTATCAATTTAAATTTTCACAGTTGTGGGAACTTATAGGGGGAGAGTCAGACAATAATTATTTAATTCCAGTAGATGATAAGATTCAAAAAGTGAAAGCTTTACGACTGCTGCATAATTATCTGCAGCACGTACTCCGGTAATGCAGGCACCAGCTGTTTTAGCAGAACTGTAAATACATGCTTTATGTAGCATTCATGACCACCTGTTTTATACACATTAAGGTGTGACTACCATAAGTTCTGAAGCCGCACTTTTCTTACGTTGCCTATATGTAAATTTCAGTGATTATCAGTGGAAATATTTTGTCTTCAGTTTGTTTGTCCTGGTGAAATTGACATTTAGCGATCAAAACTGAATCCTTCCAAACCTACCTAAATCGAACCTTTACATTTAACCCTAACCCTTAATTCTAACCCTAACACAACCTTAACACTAACACTTTAACCCTTCTCTATTCACCATGAAACGTAACTGACCTTAACCCTAACACAAACACTAAATCTTGCTGTACCCCACCAATAACCCTCACCCTTGACCTTCAAGTTAACAGTTATGCTCACCCTACACCTAAAGATAATCTATACTCTACCCCCAACCCTAACCTTAACCCTAACCTTTAAAGTCCCTCATCTTGCATTGGGTGAGAGATTGTTTTAGTTTTGTACATCTTCCTGTGGCAAGATTACATGTTAGTGTGTCTGTTCTGTGCATGGATCCATAGCAGGCTAGCCAATTGCTAGCCAATTTCCACCATCATTTCTCTTTGGGCTTTAGACCCTCCTTTCATCCATCCAATTCCCACCCCTGCTTTACCCCTGTCATGCATTCAGTGTGACCTTGTGGTATCCTGCTTGGGGGCTGCTCGCAGGATCGTTGTACGGATGGATTTGTAGCCATCTAGTGTGCTCCTGGCATACGCCTCCCGTATTTCCACCTCTTGGCTATTACCCCCATTGATTCTGCCTTTGGAGAAAGCCTGCTTTTGTTTTGCAACTGTCGCTCTGCATGCATACCCTGGAGCTGTAGCGGTCTAATGCACGGGTTTTCAAACTTTTTTTCTGGCGACCCAGTTGAAGAACATTTTTGATGTCTGCGACCCAACAGAGCTGGGGATGAGGGGTTTGGGGTGTGGGAGTGGCTGAGGGCTAGGGCAGAGGGTTGGGGTGTGGGGGTGAGGGCAGCATGGTGGGGCCAGGAATGAGGGGTTCAGGGTGTGGGAGGAGGCTCTGGGCTGGGCCATGGGGTTGGGGTGTGGGAGGGGGTCAGGTCTCTGGGCTGCGGGTTCAGGCTCTGAGGTGGGGCCAGGGATGAGGGATTTGGGGGCAGGAGGGGGCTATGGGTTTGGGGGGAGCTCAGGGCTGGGACAGGGGGTTGGGGTGCAGGAGGGGGTCAGGGCTCTGGGCTGGGGGTGCAGGCTCTGGGGTGCGGCTGGGGATGAGGTGTTTGGGATGCAGGAGGGGGCTCTGGGTTTGGGGGGGCTCAAGGCTGGGGCAGGGGATTGGGGCACAGGGTTGGGGTGCAGGATTACCTCGGGCGGCTCCCGGTCAGCAGCGCAGGGGGGTGCTAAGGCAGGCTTCCTGCCTCTCCTGGCACCGCAGATCGCGCTGCGCCCCAGAAGCGGCCAGCAGCAGGTCCGGCTCCTAGGTGGAGGCGCGCAAGCAGCTCTCACCCGCAGGCACCACCGCCCGATCTCCCATTAGCCAGTTCCCGGCCAATGGGAGTGCGGACCCGGTGCTCGGGGCGGGGCAGCACATGGAGCCCTGTGGCCCCCTTGCCTAGGAGCTGGACCTGCTGCTGGTCGCTTCCGGGGCGCAGCGCAGCGCGGTGTCAGAATAGGTAGGGACTCGCCTGCCTTAGCCGGGCAGTACGGTCCACAGGACTTTTAAAGGCCTGGTCGGCGGTGCCGACCAGAGCCTCCGCGACCCAATGCCTTCCGTTCCACGACCCAGTACTGGGTCACGACCCGCAGTTTGAAAACTACTGATCTAGTGAGTTGCTAGTGCGATCTCCACTGTCATCCTTCTTTGTCTTTGCCCCCTCCAATTTCCACGCCTAGTTTATGGTCCCTGATTTTGCACTGGGTCAGAGTCTGTAGCAGCTTTGTGCATCCTGCGACAGCGTGGGGTTTTGCTGGTGCCAGGGCTCTGTGCATGGATCTCTAGTGATGCCAGCATCCGGCGGTTTCATGCCCGAACTGGGTCCCTCTGCTGATGGGGAGATGGGAGCAACTGAGGCTGTGGCTTTGATCCTGTAGTAATAACAAATCACTGGCTCGTACCTACTTCTGTCCATCCCGTAGATCTCCAAGCGCTTTACAAAGGAGGTCAGGATCGTTATCCCCATTTTATAGATGTGGAAACTGAGGCAGGGAGAGACCTTTCCCATTCCATGATAGCTCCACGGGAAGGTGGGGAGTTGGGCTGACCCACAGCTTGTGTCCCGTGGGAACCTGAGCAAGTGTGAGGGTCAAGGGCTCCCCCTGCTGGTCAGCAAGGAGCGGTGCTGGTGCCGGAGTCCCAACAGTGGCTGGGGATGAACTGTCCAGCAATACTCCGTCGATTGATCTCTGCAGCTGTGGAACGGCTTGTTTCCATGGGGGTGACTCAGCTCTGTTCGTCTGTCTGTCCTCAGGGAGCCTGACAGCCCCCAAAACGCTGCAAGAGGTGCAGGTTCCCCTGATAGACAGAGACACCTGCAACAGCCTCTTCAACACCGGCTCATACCCAGACGACCCTCAGGGGATTGATCCCATCAAGCAGGATATGATCTGCGCAGGGTATCCGCAAGGGGAGAAAGATGCGTGTCAGGTGAGACCCTGTATCCTATTCCCTGACTCCCTCCCCCCATACGCCAGTCAATCCCAGATCGGAGCCGGTGCCCCCCAGAAGGGAACAGGCCCTGTGTCCCATTCCCCACCCACCCTGAGCCAGCCAGTTCCCTGCCCTGGGGCTGGAGCTGATGCCCCCTAGAGTGGAAAGGTCCCATGTCCCATTCCCTGCCCTCCTGAGCCAGGCAGTCCCCTGCCGTGGGGCTAGAGATGGTGCCCCCTAGAGGGGAAAGGTTCCATGTCCCATTTCCCACCCTCCTGAGCTGGCCAGTGCCCTGGGGCCGGATCAGAGCCGGTGCCCCCTAGTGGGGAAAGGCCCCATGTCCCATTTCCCATCTCTTTGAACCAGCCAGTCCCTGGCACTGGGGCTGGATCAGACCAGAGCCCCCTAGAGGACATACCAGGAATTGACTCCATGGTTCTGCTGTCTGCAGGGCGACTCTGGAGGACCCTTGGTCTGCGAATGGGACAACGCGTGGCTCTTGGCCGGGGTGGTGAGCTGGGGCGTGGAATGCGCACGCCCCAACCGCCCGGGGGTCTACATCCTGCTGCCCCCCTACGCCGACTGGATCCAGGGCTACGTCCCCACCATACCCTTCACCGTGCCTGGCATGTCCGTCATGCAGCCCAACAGTGCTGGTGCTAGCCCACTGGGGGCCCTAAGGAATATTTTGGGGGCCTCCCCCACCCACACAACACTAAACCAGGCAAAGTGGATAGGGGGCCCCCTTGGGCTGCTCGGGGCCCTAAGTCATTGCCTAGTCTGCTTATGCCTAGTGCC